CATATGTGGATAGAAATGGATTAATTATAGTTTTGAATGTTGTAGAAGATAGTAATATAATAATACAGCAATTAGAAGAATAAACTATTAAGAATAAAATTAGTTAATAAATCAATATAATTAAAATAATAATATACAATAATAAATTTAATAATAATAATAATAATAATAATAATAATAATAATTAATATTATAATGAAAATTAAATATAAAATTATAATCATTAATACTAAAATCACATTTAAATGTAATAAATATTTTAAAGATTATAAAGACCTTAATTTTAATAAGTAAATATTTATGAAATCATTTTAATAATAATTAAATCAAATTTAATAATTTAATAATATAAGATATATTAGATAATAATAACATCATTACTTTTACCAAAATTAAGTTGATTAAATTTTAGTATTTTATACAGATAATAATTATAGTAATGTTATTATTGAAAACACAGTTTTAGAGAATTTATAGTAAAATAATATGTATATTGCTGTTTTCTTTTTAAACTAACTTTATTTTATTTAGAATATAAATTAAAAATTCAATAATTTATAAAATAAAATAAATTAAATTAGAAACTAAGTAGATAATTTTATTAATATAAATATGATAAATTTCTAATAGATCCATTTAGTTTCAAATAGAATTATTAATATTTAAAAAAATTAATTTTAAATAATTATACCTTATAATGTTTGGAGAAACGGATAGAGAAGACCAAGTTGAATAATAATAGGAAATTTAATAAATATATAAATATATAAAACAGAAAAAAATATATAATTTTTATAAACTAATATCAATAATAATATATATTTTATTTTTAACATAATTACATATATTCAAATTTTTAAAAAATATTTTATTTAAAACTATTTTTTTTATATTATATATATATATATATATATATATATTATATATATATTATATATACCAACTATATAATGTACAATTAATTTTTTAATAATTAAACTTATATATATTTCAAAATATATTAAATGAATATAAAATTTTTAATTTAATATAAGACATTGTATATTAAAAATAATAATTATAAGAATGATTATTAAATAATTTTTAAATATATAATAATATCTTAGCTGAATAGTCTTAGAATAAAAATAATAACAAATTAAAAAATTAATATTTTTACTTTTTTGGTATTTTAATATTGAAAAATTATATATACAAATTAATATAAAAATAAAAATCTGAAAAAACAATAATTTGTTTGCCAAGAAAACTTTAAAAAATAAAAACAAAATTTATAAAAAAAATTAACTAGAATTTGAGTATATTTTTTATTAAATAAAGTAATTTTTTTACTTACTTTTTTATTTTTAAAAAATTGCAAAAAAAATAATTAATAAGATAAGTAAATATTCGAAAAAAGTAAATAAATTTTATAAAGAATTATATTATTCAAAACAAATCCTTATAAATTTTTTAATTTTAACCATACATAGATTAAAAAAAATTAACTTTAAGGCCGAAAAAATAATGAAATTTTATTAAGAAATTATTGTCTAGTTTATAAAATATTGAAAATAAAGGAATAAAAAATGAAATTTTAAGATTAAATAAAATTTAAAATAAATATTAAACTAATTTTATTAATATATAGGGATTTTATTTTTAGATAAATAGAAGAAATGGAAAAAAAAATGTAAAATTAAATTAAATTTAATTTAATAAAAATATTCGATTGACACTTGGAATTATAAATGATAATAATAAATAAAATAAATATAATATAAATAAATTAATGTTTATTTAAGTATTTATTTATCAACTTTATATAATTATTAAAATAATGATAAAAATATTCATTTTCAAGAAAAAAAAAAAAAGATTTTTTTAAATTAAAAAATATTTTTTTCATTTTTAGCCTTGAAAATATTTTAATTAAATGATTTTATTTTTTAAATAAATATTTATATATTATTTTTATTATTTTATTTTTTAATTATATTTCATATTTCTTTTTTAATATAGTTTTTTTTTATTTCGAATCTTAATGTATAATAATCCATAAATCTCAAACCAAAGCACCACTAAAGGAAAAAGATTATAGTTCTTAATTTTTTATTTAAATAATCCTATAACATCATTAGCATTAAATTTTCCAGAAGTTGAAGAACTTTCATATAGTTATTAGAAATAATAATCACTTTAAGTTGAAGATAATTCCATATTTATAACTTACATACACTTTAATATTTATTCTTTAGTACATAATAATGTTTTTTTATATCTCCTGTTAATTAGAGTTAATAAAATAAGGCTTCTCCATGTTTATAAATAATCTTTTAAATAAAAATAAATATTTAATTTTTTTTTTATATTACATCTATAATTTCTTAACGTAATTTTTATTCCTATTCAGGAGTAAATATTTTAAGCCTACCAATAACATGTTTGAGTCTACTTTTTACTAAAATAATTCCTGCATCCATATTTGGTTTATATTTTATTAACTCTTATGTATTATCTTCTACTAAATATCTTGATAAATCTTTTGCTTATTATGAATTTAGATTAAATGGTTCTCTTTAATTTGGTTTATAAAAAAGTATTTTATATATTTATTTTTAAATTAAAATATATATATATATAAATGATTTTACTAAATAAAAATATCAATTAAATCTTAAACTGTTATATATCCTTATTTAACAATTTTTTCTTTAAGAATGTACTTTTTTAAAAAAATAAAAAAAATGTTATTGATAAAAACATTATATATTTTATTTTACTTAATTTAAAAACTATTAGATATTTACTTTCATTTTAGATAAAAGGTAATTAATTTCATTTGTTATAGGCATTATTTAATCTGTTGTTATGGGTGGAACTAATTCAAAAGGTTTCCTAGAAATTTTATTTTTAAGCATATAAAGTTACTTTTCTCTATTTGTTTCTTACATTGTTCTAACATATCCATTTTTTGATCTTCTTTTTTTTTTTAAGAAAAATTAATTTTATTTATTAAAAAACATCAGTTGATTATTATTTTTTTATTATGTTAAAGATATAAAAAACTATTATTATATTTACCTGTAAAAAATATCATTATCTAAATTACTTTCAAGATGAGTTAATGAGGATGTGTAATTATTATTTTATTTTTAAACTATTCTATCTCCTGGTACTTATTATTTTAAAATTTCATCAGAAGCTGATTCCTCTTACGTTTATTAAAGATTATCTAATTATTAATGTTCTTTATTTTAGTTTTCGTTTTATTTTTACAATTATTTTAATTAATCTTTCTTTATTTATAGCTATTCTTACTGATTAAATTGTAAATTATTTTTTTACATTTTTAATTTTTTTATTTTTTATTTATTATTTATATTTTATAATTTTTGAATATAAATAAAACTCTTTTTTTAAATAAATTATTTTATATTTTAATATATATTATTTTACTTTTTTTTATAATTATTAATAAAATAAAAACATAGGCTTTCTTCAATATATATAAATATAAAATTAAAAAAAGTCTACTATAATTAGATATGTTTTTATTAATAAAAAAAATAATTTTATTAAATTTATTTCAATAAAATATTATATTCAATTAGTTTTTAATTTAATTACAATTATAAGATTAAATTAAATTAAATTAAATTAAATTAAATTAAATTAAATTAAATTTATAATTTAATTTAATAATTTAATAATTTATAATTTAATTTTTTTAATATATATTAAATCATTTTATTTAGTAAAATAATAATTGATTAAATAAATAATCTTATATATTTTAATTAAATTATGTTTTTGTTTAAAATAGGTTTATGAAAAATATTATATAAAATATTATTATATTTGAAAAAAAATAAGATATATAGATATTTATATTAAAAATTATATTTATGATTAAATTATTTTAAATAAAAATTAAAAATTAATAATTATAAAAAAAATTATTTAAATTTCTTTAAAAGATCAAAAATTAAATCTTAATTAATTTACAAAAATATTGAATTTTATATTATTTTAAATTACAAAAATTATAAAAAATGCATTTAAAACTATAAAATTTCTAATTTAAAATATTTTATTGTAAACATTAACTTAAATTATATTTCTTAATTTCATGATTAATATTTTCTATTCATTTTTAAATTTTAACTATTTGTTTAATAAAAATAATATTTTTTATTTTTTTTTGTTTTAACATTAAATTAATTACTTAAATTCTTTTATTTTTTTATTCAAAATCATATACATATTAAGCTTTTTATTAACAACTTTTTCTAAATTTTTTACATATTACAATACTTTTTCGTCTGTTTATTTATCTAAATTATCAATATTAAGTATAAATTCACTCTCTTATTTTAACAATTAAGCATCTTCCTTTTTCAAACAAAAACAAAAATAAATATCATAAAAAACTAAATATAAAAAAAACTTGAATTGAATAAACGTGACCTGCTACTAATTCTTATTATATTTATAATAGTTGTTATTTTTAAATAGTATTTTGTTCTTCTTCTTCTTCCTCTTCTTCTTCTTCTTCTTCTTCCTCTTCTTCTTCTTCTTTCTATTCTTCTTCTTATTATTCATTTACTTCTATTAATTCTTATTAATCTTAATACAAATTATCTTAAAAATCATTACTATGTTATATATTTTAATTATTTTCTTAATTTATAAAATATTCTTCTTTATAATTCAAATAACTTGTTTTTTCTAGTTTTTTCTATTATTCATTAATTTATTGATTATATAAATTTTCTGAAATTATTGGTTTATTAATTTTTTCTTTGTTTGTTTCTATATTTACAACTTATTAATTAGTATACTATACACAAGATTAGTTTTTTTTCATTAATCCTTTATTTTTTTCATTAACATGTGTTATATCTGTAATATTTGTTTGATCGTTTTTATTAAACTATTAATTTTATTTTAAAATAAATAAAATAAAAAATAATCTACATTATTATAAGCATCAAAATTAAATATATTATTTTATGTTGATTTGCATGTAAAAGAACCTTGATAATTTTATATTTCTAAATTCTTATCTAAAGAAGAATGTATATTATAATTACTTCCTGTATTATTACTTTTAGTTTCTTTCAACCTATCTGCGTATCTTTTATTATAAAAAATGAAAAACATTAATAAATAAATATATAATATATATTATTTATTAATTTTACAAAAAACATACCTTAAAGTATTAATAGTATGATCAGTAGAAGATGAACATGGTGAAATACACGCAATCATAATAATTTTTGATTTATTATTTTTCCCTTAAAACGAATCTCTTAAAACCATAGTTAATTTTGAACCTCTAAAAGGTACATGAGCTCCTCCTTTGTCCATAGTCCTAATACATTCTTTTAACGCAAGTAAACTAAATATAATTTTTATTTGTATTTTTCTTTATATATACCTTTTATTAATTTCAGAACCTTCCATTCTCCTTATTTTATCATTACTTTAACAATCTTAAGCTCTTTCTGATCCAGCTAAATCTACAAGGATTAATTATCCTTATTTGAGATCTTTTTAATCTTTAATAATAATTTTACAAACCGCATGGGATCTAGAAGAACTATCGTTAGCTTAAGTAGCAAAAGTCGTTCTTTCATTGTTTGCTAAAATAATTTATTCGAGCATTTCTTCGGCTGAGAAAACTTATTTTTCGGTTAAATTTTATATTTAAACTTAACCCTATTTATCTTCCAATATAATTAAATTTTATTTATTATTTAATAAATCAAGACATTTTCCCCCATATATTTCAAAAAAAGATAAAAAAAATTTTTACTAATAGCCTTTCCTTTAACTCTAAATAAATAAATCTTTCACAAACAAATCTTATGTTCCTTTCATTGTATAGGTTTTCCCGGAACCAGTCTACCCATATGCAAAGCATGTAATGACCCAATTTTCATCCAAAATATGGTCCAATAAAGGTTTCAAAGAATATTAATAAATAAGCTAAGTATCTTCATTTTCATTAAAAACATTATCGAATTAAAAATTGTATTTTTCAACGTATTTTGTAATTCCGTCTACTTTATATTTAGGAGCCAAAACCCTTATTTAAGGATTTAAGACGGAAACTGAATCGATTTCTCCATTCTGCTCTTCTTTTTAAAAAATGGGCCTTTTACGAACACATACGCATAATTTGAAATTATAAGAAGGTATATGTTATTATTAATTTTAATTTTATTTAAAAATGTTGCTTTTAATTAGTTATTGAAAATCTACATCTACATTTTTTCCAAGAACTTAGTTTTCTAAAATTTTACCTTCTTTATCGCGTTTTGCTTCTTCCATTTTTTAACGACGCTCTTCTCTTTTAGATTCCATTTAGAGAATCTTTTCGACTGTGGAAGATATTTTTTGGACTTTTTTTTACTGCGGTTTTTCATCTATTAAGCTTAAGTCAACTAATTTATCAACTTGTACGCTTAAATTACAGTTATTGGTATTATATTGTTAATATTCTTTTTGGGATATTATTACAGAATTATTTATATTTTAGGATAATTAGGATTGGGATGATGGGATTATACCTTTTTTTTTATAGGTTTTATTTTTTGTTTATTTTTACCATTTGCTTTTTTCAATCTTTCGAGTCTTTCTTAATGAGTGCCATAAACAGGAAGTGCTTTTTGCTTTAAAGAATTGATTACTTCCTAGTCAGTTAAAGAATTTAATTACATTTCTTTTAATTTCTTTTGGGCATCTTTTTATACTTTTACTTAACCTTTTTTTTTTTTTGGTTATGAACCTTTTGTTTTTTCCCATTTTTTTATTTTTTACTTTTAAATTTTTATGCCGCAGTTACTCTCATTTTTAGTTTTGATTTACTTTTTTATTTATTATTTAGTTAGTTTTCTAATTTAATATATTTATTTTCTTTAACTTAAATTTTATAAAATAAAAATTGAAAAATATATGAAAATATATTAAAAATTTAATAAATTATAGAAATTATAAATGTTGCGTATATTATTTTATTCTTATACTAAAAAAAGTATAAAATACTATATTTTAAATAGATAAGCTAAAAAAAATAGTTAAACTTCTTTACTAAATATGATAATAAGAAAACTTATATAGGGATCTTAATATTTTTAAAATCAAGTTATCGTTTTTCCTCCGATTATAAAAAATACTAAAATTTTATATTATTATAAATTAATCAAATAATGTTGTATTATTATGTTATTTTTTTTTAAAAAAATTCTGTATTTTTTTTTTCATATTTTAATAATATTATTTGTGATTTTTATTTTAATATATTAAGTATAATTAAATATTAGGTTTAAATAGCCAATATTAAACCAATTTTTATTTATAATTTAAATTAATTATAAAAAACTCAAATAAACCATTATTCTATAAAAAATTATTTTACTTCTGTTATTATTATTTTAATTAGTTACTTAGATATTAAATAATATTTAAATTGCTAAATATTATTCATTTATAAAAATAATGAGTTCAACCATATAATAATAAAAATTTATACTTTTTTAATTTTCATTTACTATCAAAAGCTTCTGCTAAAATATATAAATATTAGTAAGAAATGAGTCCTTTATTAAATCATTTAAATATTATCATTTTTTTTTAATAGTTTAATAACTTAGTATACTAAAATCAAAATTATTAAAAGGTAATTTAAATTAAGAAAAACTATATTATTTAAATTTATTTCAAGCAAATATTCAATAATACATAGTATTATCAATAAAATATAAATATTAATATTAAATATAAATTTTTAAAATTATTGCATGACAAATAATACTTTAAGTATTAATATTATAAAAATAAATAAAAAAATAGAGTTATTTGTGAATAATATCTAACTTTTATTTTTTATAATTAAGAGTTTTGTTTTTTGATAATAACCATAATTAAATTCCATTATAAATAAATGAAAATTTAAGCGAAATAATAAATTAATGTAAGGCCGAATGATCAATAATATATATAAATTATAATAAACAGAAATACAGTAATAATAATTAATGGAAAAACTTTTGTATTATAATAAAAGTATTTAATAATTACTTTTTAATAATACATGAAAATACTTTCTTAATAAAAATTATTGAAATATAATAGATTTGGTTAAATTTAAAAATATAGATAGATTCACTAAAAATCGAATTATAATTAATCTTTAATTTTAAAAGTAATAAATACGTTTATCTAAATTTTCGATTTAAAAAATTTAGGAAAGTAAACAATTAACATCCGAATTCGAAATATTACACTATTAAACTTATGAATATTACGAAATATTACTTTATTGGGGTTCACTTTGATTTAGAGTAAATTTATCCAAATTTAAAATAAAATAAATATTTTTACTAGACATAAAAAAGGCTCATTATAAATTTCCTATATTCAATAGATATTTTTAAAAAGTAAATTAATTGTTGATTCTAAGCCTCAATGAAAAAATAAATTTTAATATTTAAAAATTAAATTCGGAAATAAAAATAACTTAAAAACAAAATTTTTGTGAATTTAAAATTTTTAATTAATTATATTTACTAAATATAAAAAAATAAATGTAAATTCAAATAAAATAAAATAAATGTAAAATTAAAAAAAAAAAATTGATAAAAAATTAAATTATTTCATAATCATTTTAGGATATAAAATAAAAAATATTAATTATAAAAAAATTTATAGTTTATTATAAAAAAACATTTTAAATTTAAATAAAATTAACAAAAAAATTCGCATAATATATAATTTAAATAGATTAATTGTTAAGAATTTACTAACTTAATATTGAGGAAAAATCTTAAATTTAAAAAATAAAAATCAAATAAAATAAAAAAAAATTAATAATAAATTATAATATATTATTAATATTAAATAGAAATTTATGGTTATTAATATATTAAAAAAAACATAATTATATAATAATTTATTTTATTATTTAAATAATTATAGATTAAATATATTAAAAATTAATAAAAAAAATAGATAGAAAATATTAAATATTTATAGAACATTAAAATTATATATAATAAGTAGTAAATAAAAAAATAATTAAATTAATAGTAAAAATTATGAAAAAGTAATTATTATTTCCAAATTATATAAAATTAATTATAATTACATAAATATATTAAAATAAAATTATTAAATTAAAATAATTTTAATTTATATATAATTATAATTATATATATAATATATATATATATATATATATGTATATTTATATATATATTAATTCATATTCATTTATTTATTCATATTTTTTTTAATATATAATTTTAATTTTAATTTTATTTTTTATATTTTATACATTAAATTTTTAATATTAATATTTAATTACTTTTATATTTATTAAATAAATAATTAATTACTTTACATATATTTTTTGTTTATTTATCTTTTTTATATTTTCTCAAATATAAATTAATAATTTAAGTAATTAAATATTTATTTTTAAAATTAATTAATATTTTTTTTTAAATAAATAAAATAAAAATGTTAGCTTTAAACTAATAATATTTATAATTTGAGCCTTAAAACATTTATTAAAATTAAGAATTTCAATTATTAAGTTAATTGATAATAAAAAATCTTACATAATTAAAAATTGCATTCAAAATAAAATCAAATAATCCTTTTAGTTACATAGTCAAACCATCTGCATATGTGTTAGATGCACATGAAGAAAAAACATTAAAATTTGTATGCAAAGATAACAATTTAAACAAAATTTAAAATGATAAATTTCAAATAATATACACTGTAATAGATTTTGGAATCGAAAATTTTTAATAAAAATTTGATGATAATTTTTGGAATAATAATATGAAATAAAACCAAAAAATTTTAATTACAATAAAAAATCCTAACTTAAATCAAAGTAATTTTTAAAATTATAAAAATTCAATTACATTATCTCCTAATCAGACTATCAATTAGTTTGAGTCTTATCGTACAAAAATATAAAATGATATTGCAGAATCTAAAATTTTAAATAATCTTAGTATACAAAAAAAGTATATTAGTGAAGATAAACATTATAAAGAATAATATGAAAAACTTGTGTAAAAAGTACATGAATAAGAAAAAATATATTAACAACTAGGTCAAGATATCAAAAATGTTAAAAACGAAAAAGAAAAATGGAATAATTTACATATATATAATTCTAAAAATTAAAATGAAAATAAAGAATATTAACTTTGGCATGCTGCTTTGGTGGTTTTAATTTCTTTAATTATTGGGATTTTATTCGGAAAATGAAGGATTTTAGAGGGTTACTTTTATAAATATATGTTAAATATTAATACATTTATTAATTATTTTTGATTTTAAGTATTTTTTTTTTTAAATATTAAATTTATGATGTTTTATTTTATTTATTTTGCTTATTTATTTATAATATATTTTTTTTCATTAGTATATTTAATGAATTTATATGATGATATAAATAACTATTTTAAAATTTATATGTATATTCCAATTCATTTATTATATTTTTATCTTAGTTATTCTCTTAGCATTTCTTTCATTTCTTATTCAAGTCTTTCGTTTTATTTTTTGTAAATACTATTATATATTTGTGATGTATATAAAACTAATGTTAAAAATCCACATAAAAATCCAAATAAAATGCTATCTGTCAATCTTATTTCATTATTTTTTTACTTTATTAATTTATTATTTATAAATCATAATATTATTTTACTGTAAATGGGAAAATCCATGATATATCGCCAATTAATTAGTATAATAATGTTTATTTGTTGATTGAATAAAACCACATGCTTTTGTACATTTTTGATATTAAATGTCCAAAAAATAAATAAAAAGAAGTCAAAATACATATTGCAAATACAAAGGTTATCATATCTGAAATATTTTAAATTATTCGTGAAATCATTGAAAAAACTAATTATTTTTTTATTTAAAAATTACAAAAAAATATATATCTTTTAAAATTAATAAAAAAAATATTATTAAAGTAAATATAATTTATTTTTATCAAATAATTATAAAAAAAATATAAATACATTAGATAAAATATATGTTTTTATTATGACTTTTTATATAATTATTAGGATTTTTATTTCTAAATTATTATAATTTATAATCATTTTTATATATTCTTGATTTAAAATATTTTGTCTCTATAAAATAATAAATATAAAAATATATGTATATATATAAATAATTATATATATATTTAATTATAAATATATATATTATATATTTATAAATAAATATATATATTTTTTTATATAAATTTATATATTTATATTAATATAAATATTTATATACATTTACTTTAAATTTTTTTTTTTTTTATAATAAAATAATTTTAAATTTTTTAATAAATTACTATTTAGTGCTAGATAAATTTAATACATATCCTGCATCTAATATTATAGGAATAGACTTATTTTCATATATAAATTTTAATTTATTTCCATTATTTTATTCATAATTTACTTAATTATCATTATAATAATTATTTTTATGGTACTCATTATTATTATTACTATCTTATTGTTTTTAATCTATAATAATATTTACTTATTAAAATTATAAATATTTAATTAACTTTTATTAAAACTTCTATGAAATTGTATATTTTCTTTATTTTTGATTTATTTTGGTATATTAACTAGTATATTACATTAATTATCTATTTGATTATGATTATTCTTTTTAAAATTAAAATATATTTCAATAAATTTTATATTATAAAAAATAAATAATTACTATTATATATATGTCTTATTTTAATTTTACAAAAGCCGGTACATGTGCCCAACAAATAACATTTTTGATATTTTGAATAAAAGATTTCCTACAGTTTTAAAAATATAATATAATATTATATAAAACATAATTATATTTATACCTTTAATGTGGATTACTACTCACATTTATCCAACTTCTTCTCATATATTCATTAGTTGTTATATTATTAAAAATCAAATAATTATGAAAAACAAATAAAGATATTGCAAACATTAAAAACTTTTTATTTTTTTCTTAAAAATTAATTTTAATATTTTTTTTGTTAAAATTTTACTAAAAATGCATAAATAATAATAGGTAAGCAAAAATATTAGTTCTTCAAAGCTTTTTCAAAACTATTAAGTTGTTTGGATTTAAAATCAAGTGCTTAAATATTTTGGATTATTACAATTATACATAAAGTTACTAAGCTTGCCAAATATATATAAAAATACCTAAATAATATAAACTTTAAAAAAAGTTTCTTTGAAAAAAAATAAATAAAAAAAATAACTTGTAATTTCTTTTCCCTACACAAGTTCCTAACCAAGGGCAATGGTGATCAAATCTTTCTATACAATTATCACAGCAATTACAATGTGAACGTCTTGGAGGCCTCCATACAGCACCTTTTTTTAATTAAGGTAAAATAAAAGAAATGTGTTTTATTATTACATGTAGAACATAATTTCAATTTTAAAAAATGAGATTTATTTTAAAATAAATATAAAAATGATGATTATTTATATTGCTCATTTTTTATTAAATCCTTTATAGGAATTTAAATTTAATCTTTTTCTTTTACTAGTTTACAAACCTATATTTATTAATTGTTTTCTTTAATTTAGTTTTTATTATATATTTTTTAATATTACTATTCTTTGAATTATTCCTGGGTCTGTTAAATTAACCAAAAACATAAACATATTTGTGGATATATGCAAAATTATTAAAAATACAATTCCTACAATTAAATTTTATTGTTTTAAAAACTTTTAAAAATAAAATATTCTTTTATTATTAATAAATATATGATTTTTGAATTACTGGAATTGTAAGTATATAATTTAATACAATAGGAAAATTAGTTAGAATAAATGAAATCCAGAATTTTTAATTTTCTGAACTATTTTTTATTTTTTTAATATAATTTTTTTATTTTTTTACAAAATGTTAGTTTTTTTTATTTAAATATATATATTTACCCAGAAAAAATAAAACCTTTGCAAAATATTTGGTTTCCTGATTCCCATACTTTATAATATTTTTAAACATAAAAGTTTGTTTAGCCTTTTTTGTTTATATTTAAATTAATATCTTGTATAATCATCTTTAATTTATATACACTATAAAATAAAAATAAAAAAATATTAATATTTAAATATATAAAATGATAATTAATATTTATAATAAAAACAATATAAATATTTCATATTAATTATATTTACTTTTATTTTATATAAGCATCTTAATAAAGAAATTTTAAATTAAATATTAAAAAATTAAATTAAAATATAATAAAAAAATTTTAAACTAAAAAATATATTTTATTAAAAGTTATTTTTAAAAATATTTAAATCATTAAGTTTTTCTTTATTTTCTTATTGCATACATAGGATCGAATTCTCCAAAATTATCCAATTTATTAAGTACATCTAGTTCTTTAACCTTCTTTTCTTTTTCTGCATTTTTAACTCTCATCTTAATATTAATTTATTCTTTTAATTATTCTCTTTTATCTTATTATTTTTCGAATTATTTTTTTGCTTCCACCTTACCAGTTTTATTCTTTCCTCTCATTTTATTTTTTTTCTTTTTAATTTAATTTTTTTCTTTAGCCTCTCTTTCTGCCTTTTCCTCAGCATCAATAACTTATTTGCTTGCAGTATCTACTGTTCCAATTTTATTAGGATTCAAACTAATAGTTGTACTAGGAATCTACAAAAAATTAATTAAAAAAATATTAAAATAAAAAAAAAAACTTTTTCCAAAAGTCTTTAAACAGTAGCTTCCCTTGCCTATTTTTTAGTTTAATATGGATTTGCTTCAAATGCATCAAAGTTAGCCTCCCCGGCTGCTGGAACAACAATACTTTAATATCCTCCATTTATTCCAATTCCAAGAAAATCTTCATAAGGAATAAATTACAAATCAGTTACAGTATTATAAGAGAATGCTTCATGCTTAATATAAGGTTATTTTTATTTTTAAATATGCCAATCTTTCCATAAGTGTACCCTAGACCCATAACTCAAAGCCAAAATTCCTGATTAAGAAATATCTAGTTTAGAAGGAGTATTAGGTGCAAAATATTCATGTAAAACTTTATAAGTTCTCAAATCCCAAACTTTCCATTATCCATCAGTACCCGCAGTTACCATATTATAGCCTCTTCTATCAAACGAAATTGCATTTACAGTCCCTTTATGGCAAAGCATTTTTACTAATGGTTCACTTGTATTAGGTGAATACATAGAAACACAACCTCTATTATCACCTACACAACTTATGGCATTATAAGGATTTAGTTTTAGGCATTAAGGGTCTCTGTTCTTCATTCTATATTTCTTTTTTTTTTTTTTTTTTTTTTTTAATTTATATTTTTTTTATTACCTGCAACTATTGAACCAGTGGATGTATCGTGATATTTTAAAAAACCTAAACGACTTGCGGAGACTAAAATTGAATGATAAGGCATGTAATCTATATAAGAAGGTTCTAAATGTGTTTTAGTTTATGTAATTCAATTCCATTATTATCATAGATATATACATATCTTTTTTAGGCAACCTTTATATAATAAATTTTTGTTTTTTTTTTTTAGTTATTACAGCAAACATTCTTTCGTCATGTAAAAATTTTACATCATTTACTGTTTCTTTTACTTGTATTTCACAATTAAGCTTTTTTTAACGCCAGTCAAATACGGCTAAATGACCTTTTGAACCACCTAATAATAAATGTGTACCATTTCTATTATAATCAATAGAATATTTTCCCCAATCAAGTTTTAAATCAAATATCTATTTTTAATATAAATTAAATATATTTAATAAATATTTTTATACTTTGTCAGCATTTTATATAGGAAGAAGAGCTTTTAATTATTGTTGTTTAAATGCTAATGTTTTCTCCATTCCTTCTGATTCTAAATAGCTTTTATTTATATAATAATGTATTTATTAGTTTATTTTTTTTTTTTCATTTGCTTACCCTTTTTATTCATGGTTTAAAATGCTGTTTATTTTAGAATATCTTTATGTTTATTCATTAACGAATTTCTTTTTTTTAATTTAAGCATTTAACTTTTTATCATTTGATTTAAGCTTTTTATTTAATTTAAATATGTTATTTTAATTGTTTTCTTCTTGACTCATTTTTTTTTATTATATATTTAATTATTAAAAATTAACAAATATAATTTTAGATTTTTAATTTAATACCATTTATTAAAAAAAAAAAAAATATTTATATAATAAAGAAATAAACTATAAAAATTAATAAAATAAATATTTAAAATTTTTCGCTTAAAAACAAAAAGTATTTCAATATTTATAATCAAATCTAAGTTTTAGCAAATATTTCATTTTAATCTAATTAACATTATAAACAATATACTCATTATACAAAAGTGAATATTATTTTCCTTAATCTTTCTAATCTTATCCTTCTCCAATCGGAATTTTGCATCCTTCATGATCTATATAAGAACCTTCTAGTGGTGCTGTTTTACCCAAACCCCTAGTACTATGTTTTCCAGGAGGTAAATTGGAAGCATAATAATCCGCTTATAATTTATCATTGAAATTTCCACAGGCAACATCACATAATAGCATCAAACCAATATTATTTTATTTATTTGTGAAACAATAATTAGCTGATTTGCTCACCATATCAGCAAAATAAACTCCTTTTCCGAACATATAACCAGTAACAGGTGCTTCTGGCGGAGCTATTCTTAAACCTTAGGAAATAATTCCTACATAATTTGTTAAACGGGAACCGTGCCATAAAAGCATTCTATTATGTAAATCTTTCGTAAAACGTTCATCTTCACCTTCCTTTTAAAGTTCAAAAGCATCTAATAACAGTTAGTTAATATTAATTGTGTGTCTTAGTGTGAGTTTGTGTTATGAATTTTTAGATTAAGTCAAGCTTTTAGTGACATGTTATGGGCTTGGTAATACATTTAAGTCTTTTGTAATTTTCTTCAATTAAATTTACGTCAGAGTCTTCATTTATCTAGTTTTCCGTTAATCTTGTAGCAATTTAAATATTTTAAATAGATTCTAACATTTCAAGTTTTTCTTTTACTTTTTTGGGTGTATTTAGGATAAAATTAGACATATTTTAGAAACCAAAATCATGAGGAATATACGAATAGAAATCATTGGAAAGTTATTCAATAATAGTTTACTAGGTTTTTTTTTTTCTACTTCAGTATATAATTCTTTTAACATATTATAAGCTTTCGAAATATTGTCTTTAGATAATTTTCCTAAAGGCATTTTTTTGCAATCATATCCGATTTCTTTCATTTAGTTATTCATCATTTTCATATCGAAAATTAATTGAATTAGATTTTTTAGTGGAAGGGGCAGAGTCGAATTTACAGCGTCTTTATCCATTTTGTCTTCTTTTTATTTTTCATCCTATATATCATTACCATAGTCCATATCTAAAACTCTATAGTCCCCTTTTATTGTCTTTTCTCTTAGTTTCGTTTCATATTCATTTTTAGCCTATTCTTCACTAAAAGGTCCTTTTAGGCAATTTTGTCCTGGAACACCTACCCTTCCCCATCTATTGAATACATAAAAAGAAGAAGGAGTAGCTTTATCTTTGAGAAGTTATATTACATAAAATTTATTGTTATTAGCAGTCACGTTTGATTAGTTTAGTTTTGCATCGTATACTTTTTACTTGTCATAGTATACTTGCAAGTTTTTATTTAGACAATATTCATCTAAAGGAGCTACACCAGTAATTACTTTTTTAATTATATTTTTGGATTCGTCTTCTTATTTTTTATCTCCTTTATTATTAGTATCTGGTTATTGTTTTCCATTAGTTTAATTATTTCCATTTGTTTTGTCGTTTTCATTTTAATCTTTTTTTTATTATTTCGTTTAAGAATCTATTATATCTTTTTTACTAGTTCCTCGGCCTTTTTTTGCTTTTCCATTAGAAGTGTTATTATTATTCACTTTTTTTAAATCATCTTAACGATTTTAAGAAATGTTAGTTTAATTTTTGTTGTCTTTTTGGTTGTCTGTATCTTTTTAAGGCTTACGTCCTCTAATAGGTTTTTTTAAGTCTTCTTAATTATTATTACTGTTTTTGGTAGATTTCTTATCGTTAGTTTGGAGATCTTTTTTTGTTTCTTCATTTTTTTTATCAGCATGTGCTTACTTTTGTTATTTCTTTACAGTTTTTTTATCTGGTTATTGTGATTAAGCTTTTTTTTTATCGTTTTTTTCTTAATCTTTATCTTCCGAAGGTTTAATTCTTGATCTAGTGACTCTTTGAGACATTTTCTATATTTAAATTTTTTTTTAAAAAAATAATAAAATAATTAATCTTTAAAAAAAAAAAAAAATATAATATATATATTATGGTTTTATTTATTTTATTTAATTTTTTCAATATAAAATACTTTTTTCCTCTTATATATTTAGCGCCAAAAAATCATGTGTCAAAAATTATTGCTAAGATATATATAAAAATAACATAAAATATTTTTTAATTTATTCTATTTAAAAAAAAATATATATTTTTAAATTATCATATGTACATATATATGTATATGTATATATAAATGTATATATATATATATATATATATATTTATTTAATTCTTTTTAAATATATAATAAAATTAGAAAAAGTATTTTTTATTTATAATAAAAAAAACAAAAAAACTATTATTAGTTAATATATAAATCATCTTTTGTATATAAAAAAAAATTTAAATTTTTATTTTTATTTTGTTTTGAAAAATGTTATTTTAATTCTCTTTTTCATTTTTATTTAAATTCATAAACTTTTATCATTTCTTTACATTTAAATAACCATTACTTTATATTAGTTTCTTTAAATATTATTTCTTTTATTTAAGAATAAATAACCCTATGAAAATTGACAGATTAATTTTTAATTACAACTTTAAACTAGTACTATTCATTTATACATTAAATAATAAAGCTAGTTTTATATACATAGATTTAATACATATTTTTTTATAATAAATATTCTAAATTGTTAATTTAATCAAACAAATTATAATTTTAAATTAATTACGACTATCAGAATGTAATAATTTAATTGAAGAAGAAATACAAGTTTTGGTAACATCAATCTATTTAATAATAAATAAATTTTTAATATTTAAAATCGATTTTAATAACATTCATAAATATATAATTAGTAAACAAAAAATATATTAAACTCTATATATAAATTATTATATACATATATATATATAAAAATATATATATATATATAAATTTACTTCTAATTTTTATGTTAATTTAATTTTGTTTTTATAAATTATTAATTAAGTGGTAATAATTATTAAAAAAAATCTTTTTATTTATTTATTCTTAAAATAAACCTTTTTAAATTATAAAATCTAAAATTAAAAAATTCAAAGATATTCATACATATTTAAAAACAAAATTGAAAATATTATAATTACAAACTATATAAATAAATAAAAAAACATATTTTTTTTTTTACTATAATTGAATATTTTAATTTTCTTAAATATTATAAATTATATTAATTTTTTTATTTAATAAAAAAAAATATATTAAATAAATATATTGAAAAAAAATATTACTTAATAATAATTAACAATTAGGTTAAATTAAGATTTATTATGATAAATAATTATATTAATATAATATGTTGTAAATTAAATTAATAATATTCAAATTTTAAAATAAAAATAAAATAAAAAAAATAATATAAAAATTATAATGATATATCTTAAAAAATAAATTTAATAATATTATGATTGAAATAATAAATATAAATATGATTATTATATATAATATTAATATAAATTTTATCTTAATATATATATAATATAATAAAGGTTAAATAAATATATTAATTATATAAAATTTTTATTTAAATATATATGTATATATAATTATATATATGTATATGTATATGTATATATATGTATATATATTATATTATTATTTTTAGAATTTTTAATTTAATTCTTTCCAATAATTTAATTCATTATTAAAGTTTTATAATGTAATATCTAATTAAAAAATAAATAGCTTGTATTTTTAATCTAATTATTACATTTATAATATTATATGACATAACATACTCATCTATAATTATATAAAAATATATATTTATATTTAATTAAATTATAAAGTATATGTATATTTTTTTATCCTACCGCTTAATTTTTATATATTAGAATTAACTAACAAGAATTATGTACTAAATAAAAATTTTAATAAAAAAAAAATATTATTTTTTAGTAATCACATTTTTTAAGAAACTTATTTACTTTTAACTATTATTATTATATTTGAGAGAAAAAAATTATTTATTGTTTAAAAAATATCATAAATCATTAAAAGTATTGAATCTTTACAAACTTTAAGGATTAATAAAAATTTAATATCATATTTATTTTAATTATTCATTTTTTAAAAGTGTATTTATAAATTCATAATATATTTATATTTTTTAAAAAATTTATAGTTATTTTTTATTAAAATTTAATTTCATATTTGATAATTAAAGTTATTTTAAAAATCAAAGTAGTATTATATCTTTTTTATTAGTTTTAATAAATATAGAAATAAAAAATAATTAAAAAACAATTAAAAAGAAAAAAAAAATATTTTACATTAAAATTAATACAAAATAGATAAAATGAATACTTTTATTATTATAATATAATTTTAGTAAATAAAGAACTTATTATAAAAAATGTTAAATAAAATTAATCATGTAGATAAAATAATATTTAAATTTTGATATATATATTATAATAATAAAAAAAATATAAAAAATTAATTTTTAAATATACAAATTATTTTATTTTGATAATATATATTAACTTTAATAATTTTTTTTCATTTTTTAAAATGATAAACTAAAAAGAATAAACCCAAAACGAATATAATAGAGCCAGAAACTAAATGTGATATGACTAAAACTATATTTTTACCTCCCATTGAATTAACAGTTCCTAAAAGGAACGATTTAGTAGAATCATACAAAGAAACATTAAACTCTATGTATTTATTTAAATATTTTTTTAAAAAATTAAATTTATTATTATATAATTGCAAATAATAGTATTACAATTTTATACTGTAACTTTATATTATCCACTAGTCAATTTCTGTTCTATTCTTCCCCAAAGTTTTTTAAATTTCGATAATCCTGAAGGTCTAATCCAATTTTAGAAATGCTCTTTTTGTAAAAATAAATTAATACATAAATTTATTTATAAAAAACCGTTTTCCATATCAATCCATTGTTTTTCAGGATTTTTAGTATTTTTAATATTTTTCCTATCATATTCCCAAGCAATATTTTTATTTTAAATTTTAATTATTTCACCATCTTATAGACTTTAAATTTAATAAGTATCTTTACATTTAATTATTTTTAATGTTTTTGATAACAAAAAAAAAAAGAAAAAAACCTTAAAAATAAGTAAAAGCTCTCAATCCACAAGGAATAGCAACGTCATCTAATTAAGTAGAAAGAAGTAATTTTTTATTCATGTTTGTCATTATAATTTTATTTTCATCAGGTACATAATGTTTATTTTCCCAATTTTAAATTTTCAATAGCTTTTTATTTATTTCTTTATTTGTTTTAAAACCGGTGCATTAATTTGGATTAGAAGGTTAATTTGAATTTTAATAAACTTAGCTATTATCAAAATTATCCAAATATATTTGATGGTTTTAATTGAAGTTCTTTAACTCGTAATGTATAAAAATTGGAGGATTCAAATCTTAGTCTAAATTTATTTAAAAAGAGCAAGTTTCAGCTTTTGGACTACAATTTTCAAGTGAACTATATTCAACTCTGTATTCATAAGCTTCATTGTTTTTAATTGCAAATATTATTCCTGCTATTAATAAATAAAGACCTTAATTTTTTTATATTTTTTAAATAAATTTGTTGACAATTTTTTTTGTTTATAAAAAAAATTAAGCATATTGTTTTTTTTTAAAAAAAAAATAAATAATTTTTTATATTATTTTTAAAAAGTTTAATTTTGCTTTTTTACCTGCAAGAATATATAAAATTCCAGCCTTTAATTTATTCGAACCTTTCCATTAACTCATTATTAATTCTTATTCTTATGTATATATTTAATTTTATTCGGACATATTTTTTATATGGATATTTGCACTTTATTCAGAATACCTATATTCATGGTTAGATTTATTAAAATTGTTAGATTCAACTAATTCTTAGTCCATTTAAAATTATATGTTATTTTATGAAAATATTATTTTTTATTAAAAAATATACTAATATAATATATATAATTTACTTTTAATATTTTTAAAAAAAATTATGAAATAAATATTTATATTTATAAATAATAATGAAAATAGATAAAAAATTATTTAAATCAATTTTATTGTAATTTATTTATATTCTTATATGCATTAAATTTTTAATGTTTAAATTTTATTTTAATATATAATAATTTATTATTCATTTATATACATAATTTATTAAATAAGATTTTTTATTTATATATCATTTACATGGTCTATATTATATTTTATTATTATATAATTATAATATTTTAAACCAAATTTATAATTTTTAAAATATTATTAAAAACTTAAATATTTATTTATAATTTTTAAAATATTATAAAAACCCTAAATATTTGCTAAAAAAATTATAAAAATTTAATTAATAAACTCAAATAAATATCTATATTAAAAAAAATTAATAAAATAAAAATATAAGCAATTAATATGAAAAATGCCTTATAGTAATTGTTAGATAAAAAACCATTATAAGAACAAGCACAATGTATAATCTGTTCAATCGCAAATACTTAATATTCAACCTAATAACAGTAATTAATATAGTGTATTCATTGTAAACAAAATTCACATATATAATGTTATAATCTCCATAATATACCACAAAAAGTATTAAATATAAAGTTTGCGTGTATAAACTGTCGAATAAAAATAAATTAACCTATAATAAATTAAATCGAGTATATATATGGTCCTAAAGTATATTTAAAAAGAGTATAAGAAATATAAGAATATGTTAATTTTAGATTAACTGAATAGTAGATAAATTCTTTAAAATAAGATGAAAATATTTAACTTGGAATTTTTTGTGCAAAATTAGATTACTTTAAAGAGCAGGCAGATTACAAAACTTAATATTATATGTGGCCTTCAGATAATATTGTTATTAAAATAAATGAAGCACTTTAAAGTTATTGCTTTGATAACATTTGTTTTTGTGAAAAAGGAGATATTTCAAATAAAGGAAGAAATAAATTTAGTTATTATTTAATTGAAGATAGAAACTTTACAATACAAAATTTAATTATAGGAATTATTTTAGTTCGCATAAACGGATTTAATTTTGTTCTTTAAGAAATTATACTTAACTAACCATATACGAGAGATTATTTCATTATCCAATATAAATACTGGGCCTAACAAGCTGAAGTAGAATTTCACTTGTGTCTAAAAGATTTTATCACATAATAAGTTATAAAATGGTGAAAAATATTAAATTTTTTAAAAATATGTGTATATATAAAAATTAAATATAGGCCTTTTAGAGGAAAAAATTGTAATCATTACACATGTTAAGATTTAAAGAGTTTTCTATATATGAATATATATAGTGAAAGTTTAACTAATAAAAGATGGAGTTGTACTACTTGTAAGAAAGAAATCTATGTTTCGGATATTATTTTTGATAAGTATTTGTATGAGTTTATTAATACTTTTTAAGGAGACTAAGTTTAAGAAGTTTTGGTTGATTTGGAAGGAAAATTATATAATAATTCTAGATAGAAAGAATAGTAGGAATAGTAGAAATCGAATTTGATTTTAAATAAAATTTAATAAGCAAAATTAAATGTTAAAATTGAAGATAATGTTTATAAACTTTTTTAAAATTTTAATTAGAAGTATAAAGTTATTAATAAAAATAACATATAGGATGTTTTGAAGGAAAAGGTGTTAGGTTTTATGAATAATATATAAATTTATTACTTTATTTTGGCAAATTTATATAGTTAAGATAAAGAAACTGCTTTCGAATTTATTTATTGTTTTTCGGATTTGAATAAAAATATATTAGAACCGAATTTATAATAAATTATATTTCTTATTTATCTTAGTAATTATAGTAAAAATCTCTTTTATTAACCAGAAATGGCTTTTAATTATGGAAATTTAATATTTTAGTTTGGATTTTTTATAAAAAATTATTTGAAAATTACTAATTTTAATTTAGGCTGTTTTATTGGGGATTATTTTCTGTTGTATTTTAAGTTTTTTTAAATGAATATTGTATAAATTTGTGAGTTTTTAGGAAAAGTTTTAGAAGATAATAAATCGGATTAATAAAATTCTAGTTTGATATATTTTAGCCTTATTAATTAATATAAATAATTGAATTTTTAATAAGAATTAAATTTAGTGGAATTTTTCTAATAAATTTATTTATAAAAATATAAATAGTTCTTGTCTTATTAAGATATTTAATAGCTTAATATTCTTTAAATTATTGTTAAGACGCTTTTTTTATTAAATAAAAACTTTTATTAGCAAAACAACTTTTATAAAACTAAACAGTTTATTAAGAAATTTGTTGAGAATGATAAAAATATTATCTAAAATGTAATAAAATCTAAATTAAATGAATTATTTTAATTATGATAATATGTATTTTATATTAATAAATATTCTTTATAATATATTTTTTATTAAATTATAATATTTAAATTACATATTTTTTATTTATAAAATTTTTTTTTTTATTATATATAATTTTTATATTATTATTATATTTTAAAACTAAGATATTTTTAATAAAAATGGAAGTAAAAATAATAATTTTTATTTTAAAAAATATTATTTATTAATGAATTTTTATAAATTAGAAAACAAACAAAAAAATTATGAATAAAAATTTAAAAGAATAAAAAAAATACTTAGAATTATTAAAATAACATAAAGATACATTAAATGATTTAGAAAAATTAAATGATGATATTAAATAACAAAATTAAGAAAAGCAATAATTGAATTAAAAACTAATTGAAGTATTATCTAAATGCGGTCTTGAGTTAATTGATTATAAAGATAAATAAGAGGATAAAAATAAGCAAAATAATCAAAAATAAACAGATTAAAAAAGCCAAAATGATTAGTATTAATAATGATTAGAAATTATATACATATATTTATTATTGTATTTATAGATATAAACATGTTTACTTTTTTCACAAAAAATATATTTTTTAAATGTTTTTATTTTGTTACATAAAAAACTATTAAATAATTTTAGATAAATAATATATATATATATAAATATATATATATATATATATATATATATTAAACTAAATAATTTTTGTTAATAATATATATGCTTAAAATATATTCAAATTTTGTATAATTTTTGAATATAAATAAGAAAAAATATAATATGATTATTTTTATTATTTATAAATATTAATTATAATAAATTTAATAAAAAATTTTATTTTAAAATTAATATTTTTTAAACTAATAATAAAATAAAAAATTAAATATTTTAATATATAAAATAATAAATATAATTTAAAACTAAATAAATGAATAATAATTTAATTTTATAATAAAGATGCACTTCAGTTAAGGCAATAAATAGATTTTTTGTAAGTAAAGTATACTAAACAGTTCCAGATTTGAATTTTAAAAAATCTACATAAAAAAATAATTAAACTTCACCCGAATTTAGGATAAAAAATGAACCCAAAATTTAAAAAGACGACCTTTAATTATCTCCATGTAACCCTAAGAAAATAACAAATGACAATTTTTATTTTTTTTCTTCATCTCAAAAAACAATAAAAAGAAATAATAAAACTAGCAATTTAAAAGAAAAAATTGAATAATTAAACATTTTATTTTTAGATTCTTAGAAGAAAAAGACTAAGCAAAAAAATTAAACTTTAACTTCTTTCGCATTTAATACAAATATAATACAAGAAAATTTATAATTTAAGTCTTAAAAAATTTTAAATATTTCTCAAAGAGTAAATTAGTTACTTTCTAAAAATAAAAAAAATCCAATTTAAGGCTATTAAAGTTAAAAGAAATAATAAACAACTAAATTATTTTTTAAACCAGAAATTTTAAAAAATAATGAAAAAAATCTCATACTTTAAAAAAATCTACAATAACTAATTTCTCATAAACCTTTTTCAGAATAAAACTTTTAAAGTAAAAAACGAAAAAATACAATTTTTTTGTTTAAAATATATTGAATAAAATAAATTTTTTAAAAAAGCTAGAAATTAATATAAGTAATACTTGGATTGGTTTTAATAAATAAAATAATTAAATAATCTAGAAAATAAAGAAAATATTGACAATCATCATAAAATTCATTTTTAAATTATTACTCTTACAAAAGAAGAATTATCACGTTAATTAAAAGATATTTGTATAGAAAGATATGAACTTTTTGAGTAATTTTTTGAATACATAAAAGATTACTATTAATAAGAATTAGAAATTTAAAAAAACGAAAAAGATAATGATAAATAAGTTTTAATATAAAAATATTAAAATTTTTAAGATAAATCTTAAAAATTATTTCAAAAAAAAAATGAAGAAATTGATAATATGAAATATGAATTAGAAAAAAAAGATATAAAATTTAACGAAATAAACTAAAATTTAAAAAATTAAATAATTTATTTAAATAAAAATAAAGAAAGACTTTAAAAATATTAAAAAGTATATATTTATTTAAAAGAAAAACTTTAAGAAAAAGAAAAATAAATAAAATAAATATAAGATTTTTACAGTGTTAGAAAAAGCAACAACAACGATAATTACAACAACATAAAAAATAACAATAATAACAATAAAAATAATAATAAAAATAATAATAATAATAATAATAATAATAATAATAATAATAATAATAATAATATTTAAAATTTTTCAAAATAAAACAATTTAATAAAATAAGATGATATAATTTAAAATATAGAATATAATAGTGATAATGATATGTCTTTTTAAGATGAAAAAGATAATATTTTTTTTTTAGAAATCGCTGAAAATAATATAGATTTAGGCAATATGGATTAATTAAATGCTATTATCGTTAATAATGAAAATATGGTTAAAATTGTAAATCAAGAAACAAATACAGATTAAGAGTTAAGGGATATGTATATGTAAAATTAAGGAATATAAACGAAGTTGAATTTATTGGAATTTAAGTTTGATGAGATAATGTAAGATAATGTACAGTTTTATGAATTAGCAGAGTTTTTTAAATATAAATAATAGATGGATATTTTTTCGAAAAGTTAAGAAGATATTCCGAAATATGATAAAAATGAAATTTCAAGTAATTCGGATTCTTAAAGTGAAAATGAAGATGATGATAGTTTTAATGAAAAAAGAAAATAATTATCAGAAAATAAAGCTTTGGAAAGGAAAAAACTTAATTTTAATGTCTTGCATATTTTTAATCCTGTAAAATAATTAAGTTTACATTTAGAAAAATTAATGAGTGAGAAAATAAAAGAGTTTTTAAGGTAAAATTAACAGGAAAACAATAAAAAATGGAAATTGAATTTTTTTATTGAAGTTTTAAATGAAGAAAATGTCGAAAATATATTAAAAGAAGCCCGATTGAAAATTACTGCAGTTTAAAATAAATCTGAAATAGAAAAACTAATGGAAATCTATAAAATTTCTTAAAATAAAAATAAAGTTTTAAACGAACAAGTACAAGATTTATTATAATAAATAAATACATTATAAAAAAACCATTTTTTAGAAAAAACTTCAAAAGAATAGAAAGAAGAAAAAATAGAATTATTAGAAATTTAAATATAGGAGCTTTTAATAAAAACGAACTCCGAAAAAAATCAATATATTTAAGAAATAGAAAAACTCAATTAATAAATAGAAGAACACAATAACTAAAAAAATAAAAAGAATTCTATAAATACTAACGAACCCATATTAATAGAAGAAATTCTTCGTAAACCTTAAAAAGTCCGAAAAGCGGGAAATCCACAAAACTAAGCTTTTTAATTAGGCCGAAAAATTAATATATAATACGAATTTCAAAAAAATATTAATGTTGGGAAATAAATTGTTGAAAAAGCTAAAGAAGCAAAAATAGCTAAATTTAACAATTATATGACAATAAAAACATTATTGAAACAAATAAATATACTTTATTCCGAAAGATTAAATTAAACTAAGGAAAATAGTAATTTTAAAGACATAGAGTTTTCGAACTATTGCTATAATTATTATAGTCAAATGTATGCAATTAAAAAAATAGCAGATTAAAAATTCCTAATCTTGGTACTTTCGACAAAAAAATACAGATCTATATTTAGAGTTAATATGTTTGCAAAGTTTTTATAATTATATGATTAGCAATAGAATTATAACTTAGAATAATTGAATAAATATATAGATGTTCTAGACTTTATTCTTAATGTTTCTAATGCTGGCACTCATTATACAGCATTTGAAAATGAATAAAGGTTATTAGTGCCTTATATAAAGGCTATTCATTATGTTTCATAGTTTGGAGACTCTAGGATGAAGGCTGATGAAAGCCAAGAACTGAAAAAAGATTTCGAATAAATGAAATTTTTAGACAATAATAAAGTTTTAGTGATTGATTTTGACAGTTTTATGTATAGACTGTTGATTACGTATTCTATACTAGTGAATAGGGCTAAGTAGTATGTAATAAACGCTTTTAATGCATGTGATTTGGATGGAAACAGAAAGTGTAATTTTTAGGAATGGAGTTTATTAAATAGACATATTGAGCCTGAGAAGTTTGATGATTTTCAACTTTTTTAGATTTTTGAGGATAATGCGGATATTTTTGATGAAGGAGAAAAAAATTTTTCTTTTGATAAATTTGCAATTGTTAGTTTAGAATATGAGCTTTTTACAGATGAGGCGTAAGACAAATACTTGGGAATTTAAAATTAACTTCAGGTAAGAATTATATTCGAAAAGATTTTGGCAAATTGGACGACCAACAAAATGGAAGAAATTAGAGATAGAATTAATGCTATTAGTAATTTTGAAGAAAAAGATGATTGGATCAATATTTTGGAAGTTTTGAACGAGAAGTTTAATTAGAATTCGGGAGTTACGAATGTTTAGAGTCTTAAACCGTTGGTTATTGCTTATAATATTCTCGATAAAGAAACAATGATGTTATATTAAGATTTTATGGATAATTAACTTAAAGAATGAGTATTTTTGAAAAAAAATTATTATATGTAAATATAAACTTTAAGATTTTTTATTAATTTAATTAATTATTCTGTTTTGTTTTTTTATTTAATTTTATATAAATATTATATTAATGAAACAAATAGTATTTTAATAATATTTTAGATATATACATAATTTATATAAATAAAACAATTTTTTCTATATATATTAACTTTGATATTATATTTAAAAAAATTCATAATTAAATCTTATTTTTAATAAAATTATTATTAATACAAGAAGAATAAGAGTTTATTTCACCATAATATGTATTATATTTTTCATCTTTTATTAATTATTTACATTAATTTGCTTAAAAAAATTAATTTTCATAAAATTATATTTTCTTTATTTTTTTCTTAATTAATTTAGTAAATTATAAATGATTTTTAAATTTTTTCTTATGAATTTTATTTTAAATTTTTTCTTAAGAAAATTTTAATTTTAATTAATTTTTAATTTAATTTTAATTTAAAATTAAAATTGTTTCTTCCAAATCAATAATATATTTTTATTATTAATCATATATTTATTATATTATTTTTATATCTTTTAAAAGATTATTTATTGTAATTTCTTTATCAATTTCTTTTATTTATTATATAAATTTAAAATCTAGTTCTTAATCTTTTAAATTATTTTATTTAATAATTTCATCTTATTTTATATGAGAAAGAGTATTATTTGTAATAATATTATTTAAATTTTCGTTATCTTTATATTATTAAAATTTTTTTTATTATATTTTTTTTATTATATTATCCTTTTCTTAAATAATTAACATTTGATTCTAAATTAAAATATCCATTCTTTTAATTTCTTAAATGAGACATAATATTTATGAATCATTATTACTTTAAATTTTATTTAAATTAACTTTATTTTAAGAATCTAATAAATAATCTTCAATTAGTTTATCTTTTTATTAAATTTCATTTATTTTTTCTTATAAAGAAATATCTAGTCTTTTAACTTCAAAAATTAAAGTAATTATTTCTTGAGTTTATTAGTCCATTTATTATTTTAAAATTTTATTGTCAATAAAATACTAATTCTTTTCTTGTAATTATTATATATAATATTAAGCCTATTAATCTATATTTTTAACTTCATTAATTAAAACTTTTATTTCATATTCTTATTCGATTTAAAATATATTTTTTTGATTTAATTTTTCACTTAATTCTTTTATTTTTTATTCTTTTTATTCATTTAGATATATTTCATCTTAAAGTTAATTATCTAATTATTTAATTTATTAAATTAACAAACTCATCTCATTATTTTTAGTTTCTTTTTACTAACTCTCGTTTAATTAAATTTATTTATTAAGTTATATCTATAATTATGAAACTTATTAATTTATTATATTTTTCTCTTCATATTATATCCTATATTTTTTTAAAATATAAAGATTAAAAAATAAATACTTAATTTATTCAATTAAAATATTAATTTCGTTAATTAATAATAAAATTGATTTTTGAGACTTTTTTTTTTAATTTTCTATTTAATTATTTTTTTCTAAAAGTATTTGTTCATATTATTTAATTTAAAAGCTTAACAATTTAATTTGATGTTCTAAAAACTACTATTTATTGCAGTTTTCATTAGAAAAATTATTTTTTTCTTGTTTATTTAATTTAATCAAATAATTTTCTATTTTCTGCATTCTAATATCCAAACTTTTTACATTTTGTTTTATTTGTTTTTATTTTAAAGATTAATCATTATTGATATCTTCTTTTAATCCACGTAAAGGCGATTCTGTATAAATATAATTTGTATTTGGTGATGTCTATATTCTTGTAGATTAAGTAAATAGTAATTAATCTTTATTAATTATATATAAATTATTATATTAATTATCAATATATTAATCAAAATTTTAATATTAACTTTAATCAGTTTAAAGAATTTAATTCTTTAATAATTATTATTGATAACTATATTAATCTTAAGAAACAAATAATTAATAAAATTACATTATTTTTATATAAAAAAATTAAAGAAAAAAAAATAAAAAATAAAATATATATATATATATATATATTTATATATATATTTATTATTATTTAAATATTTAATTAAAAATTATTTTTATATTAATAGAATTTATATTTTTTAAATTAAAAAGAAAATAAAAAGTTAATTTTAAAAAATAAATTTTTATTTATTAAATATAAATCACCAAATATGAATAAAAATAATAGTAAAAAAAGTTAAACCAATACTTATTAAAGATAAAAATATTAATTAGATCCAACTTAGTTATTTATTATTTAAAAATTCATCAATTTTTGATGTATAATCCCTTACTTTTTTTTAAGATGTATCTTATTTTTTAATAATTCTATCTAAGACCTTTAATTTTATTATATATTTTTTTGTATTTGATTTTTTAAATACTTCATTATCTTCAATTAGGTTATTTTTCATTGCCATTGATATTTATTTCATACTTTTTGATAGATTTAAAAGTTAATCTTCATAAACTTTCATGTTATCTTCTTCTTTTTCTAAAGTTAAATCTATATTTTTTTCATTTAAAAAATTTATTAAATTTTTATTAAAAAAATACCTTTCTCATTTAACTATATTTTAAATAAATCATTAACATTTGGTTGCTTTTTTTAAGTTTATTCTTATTTTTAAATCTATTTATTATTTTTATAATTTTCTTCTTATTCTTCTTGATTTTCTTATTCAGATTCAGATTCATCTCCGTTTTCAATTTTTTTTCTCTTTTATTCTTCTTCTTCTTTTAGTTTTATTTCCTCTTATTCTGCCTTTAATCTTTCTACTTCTTCTTTTTCATCTATAAAAAATAAAATATTTTTTAATTTTTTTATTTTTAAAAAATGTACATTGTTCAACTCTTCGCAATGTAGTTTATAAAAGAATTCCCAATTATTTATAAATTTGACTAATTTCTTATTTAGATTCATCCTCTAAAATATCTTTAAAAATTTAATCTAATTCTATTTTTGTTTCCTAATATTAAAAATCTAAAACTTATATAAATGATTTTTTTTTTTTTTAAATAAATTACAATTAAATCAGATTTTATATCAATAATTATTTAAGATTCCTCATCTATTTCAACAATATATTTTTTTAAAAAAACCATTTCTTAAAGTAATCTTATATGCTTTAATAAATTTATTACATTTATATATTTTTATTTCTTTAAGTTAAATGGTTTTATTCTATCAAAAATTTTTTATACTTCTAATTTTTCGTCTAACATTTTTTTTTTTTATAGAATATGTATAAAATTATTATTTTTCGTATACATAAAAATAAAATATTATATCTTTAAATTATTAAGAAATAATAATATAAAAAAAAAATATAAATTTTCATATATTTATTTTAAAAAAATATTTGTAAACTATATATAGAAAATGTTAAAAAATAATGTTTATATGCCTTAAATAAATCAGTTGGAAATCCAATAAGTAGTATCAAATAAAGAACCAACTTAAGAAATTAAAAATTAATAAATAAGCGTATAAACAACAACATTATAAGATGACAAAATAATATAATAATAATAAGATAAAAAGCTATTAAAAAAAGATATTTTAAATATTATTTTTTTATTATATTTATACTTACAACAAGGTTTATTATTCTATTTTTTTTTAGATTTCGTAAGAAATTATTTAATCCAAGTAAAAAAAATTAAAGGAGAATAAATAGCATTTTTAAACATGATAGGAAGTCCATATTGTATAAAATTTATTTGGGCTCCATTTATGGATACATTTTATTCCAAAAGATTTGGAAAGCGAAAAACCTATTTAGTACCATCTTAACTATTAATAGTCTTAATTTTATTAATTATATCTGTAAATATAGAGTCTTGGATTGAAAATGTATAAGTTGATAAAATTACTTATACAGGTTTTTTGTGTATTTTATTAATTACAATTTAGGATATTTCAGTTGATAGTTTAAGTATTAGAGTTTTGCATGAATAAAATACTGTTTATGCATCTTTTGCTTAATCATTTGGATTCGATTTGGGAGGGATTATTAGTTATTAATTTTTTATTTATTTAAGCGATGAGGATATCTGCAAAAGATTTTTTGGAGTTAATAAACCTATTCTAACGCCATATTCTATGTGTATTTTTATGGCTTTTTTGTTGTTTTTGGCAACTGTGATTTGTTTTTTAACAAACGAAAATTAATATGAAGAAATATTGGAAAATAATTAATTATAAAATGACCATATAATTACAGAGAATAATGTAAATTAGTAAAAAAAATTTTTATAAAAAATGTAATTAATGTTAATAAATATAAAACTTTTTTTTAAAACAAAAATATTATGTATTTAGTTATTTTTCTTTTAATTTCTGAATTTGGAATTATATTTATCATTGTCCCTTCTGAAATACTTCTATTACACAAAGGATTTGAAAGATCTTTATTGGCCACAATGTAGTTATTTATGATACCAATAACATTAATGCTAAGTATAAAGTCAATATAATTTAACCAATAAAAGAAAGAATTCACTATTTGGTATTATTTCTTTATTGTAAATATCGTTTGGAATATTAGTACTTATTTTATTGCTGATAAATTTACACTTGAATAATTAAAATTCTATACAATCCTTATTTTGATTAATAATGTTGGAAAGACAATTCTTGATTCGGTTCCTAGTATTTCTAAATCTGCTTTTTTTTTAGAATTTGTGATTAAAGTATAGGAGGTACTTATATTACATTTCTTAATTCTTTTTGGAATTTGGGATACGCTTGGTAAGAATCTATCTCAAGTTATATTTTCGATATAATTGATTTTAAGTTATTTGTCATTTTTGGTACTATGTATTCAATTATAATGATTTTTGTTTGGAAAAAAATAGTTTTTGAAAAATTTTAAAAATCAGAATAAGAAAATTGGAAAATTAAATAAATTTGATATTTTTAAAAATTTATAATTATAATATTTTTATATATTAATAATAATTATAATTTAATATATTTTAATAAAATTCTTTTTTCATTTTTTTTTTAAATCAATTCAAATATTATATATTTTATATATTAAATATTATAATTATATATCAAATATTAAATTTTTAAAATTAATACAAATAAAAATAAAAAAATACAAATATATGTATATTTATTTGAATAACATAATGCTTTCAATTTCAAATATAATTAATTTATATAAAATATTATAGAATTAATAAAATAGCTGTTTGAAATAGATAAATAAAAATAATTACTAAAATTTGAAATAATAAAATAGACATTTATAAAAAAAATTAAGGAATAAAAAAACCAAATTTATAATAACAAATTAAATATTTATTGTCAAAATTAATTATTTATTAAATTAAAAAAATAATTTTTAAATTAAAAAATAAAAATATTTATTTTGTTTAAAAAGTTTATTTTTAAATATTTAGTTTTAATTAATTTTTTTTATTAAAAAATTATTATTATAATAAATTAATTAAAGAAAAAAAAAGATACAAATAAAGTTAAATTCAATTTATAAAACATATAATTTTAAAATTAAAAATAATAAAAAAATTTTGAAAAAAAATAAAATAAAAAAAATTAATAATTAATAATATGTAAATAATAAAAAAAAATATATAAATATGTAAAATAAATATAAATATAATTATTTATTTGATAAAGTTGGTAGAAATAGTTTTTTGTAAATTATTCCTAAATTTTATAAAAATGTTCTTTTAGACGTTACTGTTAAACATTTTATTTTATTTTAAAATATGATTATTACAGGTTATTAGTTTAAATAATAATATGGTTTATTATCATAATGTTTAAGATAGCCAAATAAGTTAATAAAAAATTAAATATAATTTTAGTTATAGTGAAAAAAAATATGAAAAAAAAGAAATTAAGGAACCCAAATTACTGAAGATTAATTTAACAAAGTTGTTTATATATGAAATTTGCATTTAATACATCTAATTTTATTCAGATTTTTCATTAATTTGCTCTTCATTTGCATTAATAATGTTAAAATTATTATTTTTAACATATTTTTATTTAATTTATCTCTGTATATATCACAAAATTTTAATTATTTTTTAAAGTGAAAGTCAGTTAAAGTTTCAGCATCATATTTATTAATGAATAAAAAAGTTATATTTAATAAAAATAACTAAATTTTTATATATTCTAATACATTTTAAAAGATTAATTTTATTTTATTAGTAATAGACTAATCATATTTTGTTTTATATTAAATATTATATTCTTTTTAATCTGTATAATCTCCTAAAGCAAAAAAGTTATTTTCATTTTTATAAATATTCAAATATAATATTTTTTATATTATTTATTAAATATTATAGTCTTTATTTGTTTTTCAAACATTAACTTAAAATTACTTATTTCAATATTTTTATTATTTGATAATAAATATAAATATTATACTATTTTTTTTAATTTATCATAAAAAATTTAAATTTCATAAGTATTCCTTTATGTTTTAAATTTTTAATTTTAATTCAAACATTAAATTATTCTTAAATATTTGAGTATTTCTGGTTATAGTCTTATTTTATTTTATTTTTTCATTATATTATTATTGTTTAAAATCTCATTGAATTATTTTTCAATAATATTTAATAATTATGAGTTATTTTATTATATATTAATTACATATCTAAATTTTTTCATTAATATATATAATTCATAAAAAATAATATATTAATTTTATTTGAATTAAACATGATTAATTTTTTATTTAATTTTGTTATATATAAAATATTTTTATATTTTTTCATTTATTTGCTATAAAAATTTAAATATTATTCTAGTTTTTTTTAATTATTATGAATTTAGGCATAATTAATAAAAATAAAGATTTATATTAAGTTAAGCTTAAACAATTTTTAAAATTCAAGTTTTGTAATTATGGAATATTTTTATTTATTAATATAATAAAAAGATCAATTATTTTTATTTTAATGTTAATCAATTATAAATTTAAATAATAGAAAATTAATAAAATTATTTTTTTATGAAATATTAAACAAAAAATATTATTTGTAGCTTTTTTAATAAAAGAAACTGTATTATATTATTTATTTTGATATCTTGAAATAATTTTTTTACAATCTAAAATTAAATTATGTCAATTTATTATAAAACTATTGAAAAAAATATAGTTAAAAAAAGTATTAAATGAAATAAGAGATTAATAATTTTGTAATTTATAATTAAATAATTATTGCTAGTGCCTATAATATTTCTTATATTATAAAAAACTATAAATTAAATCCATTTTATCCTTGGATATCTTAATAAAAATTGTTTTTAATTATAAAAAAAAATTTAAAATTAAAATTAAACTTATATTAATAATAATTATTTGCATTTTAGATGTAAATAATTTATTATTTTTGAAATAAATAAAATATTTAAAATATAAATACACAAAATAAAAATGACTGATTTTTTAACAAAAAAAGATGTAGAAAGTGGTTTTCGAAAGTTTGATAATGTTTTAGTTCGTGTATATTTTAAGACACTTTTAAATCGTTAAATAAATGAAGACTAATAAAAAATAGAAGAAAACAATTAAATCATTACGAAACAATAAACAATAATTAAAGAAGCATTAAACGATAGTAAAAACATAATTGAGTAAACAAAAACACCACGTGGAATAATAAATATGATAAGTACCGATTTATAATCTCCATAAAATAATATTTTATTCGGATAATTTAAAAAATGTATCAATTAGAAAATTTTATAATATTAGGCATATAATATTCATCATGGAAATGAAGGAAATATAGAAAACACCCTAATATAATAAGATGAAGGAGATAATTAGGAATTTAGTGATATTATAAGAATTAAAACCAAATCCAAATTTAATTATAAAATTCCTCAATAATAAATATTAACAAAAGAAAAGAAAAAAAAAGAAATTAAAGTTTTAGATTATGACGATATTATTTATTTTAAATATAATATTATTAACAATAAAATAGTAAATACATTTTTTTTTTTTTTAATAATAAATTTTGAATATTTAAAAAAGAAAAATAAAGAAGATAATATTTATTTCTTTATGATTGCAAGTTAAAAAAATAGATTAGAATGTGTTAGTGAAAAACATAATAATTTAGATAATCCTGTTGCAAATTTCA